ATTGGAGTAAAGTGCCATGCAGATTTAAATTTTTCCCACTTGTGACGAATCCAGCTATCGATTTTTTTTGCATGCTAGCATGCTAGTTAACATTCGTGTCAGTCAGCTGTTGGCTCTCACGCTGGCCAATAGAATCTTCCTGTCTATTTGTGGCAGCCAGCTATTGGCTCTCACTCTGGCCAGTAGAAAATGGCTGCAAACTACATGAAAACTGCCGTAGAAGCATGAAAAAATCGATTATTTCCACTGTCGATGGGATGACATCCTGCCTTTTATAGATAGAGATACACCCACACACACATATATATGTATATACATACATATATAGATAATAATAATTAGATGAGCTCAGTAGAAACGCAAATATCTGAAAACGCAGGTGCAAGAAGATCAAGCGGAAATATAAAATTAAATCACTGAATGAAATTCCGTCAAGCAAGAATCAGTTAAATTGGGTTGATATGAAGATCTCCTTATTGACATAGCAGTCCCTGAAGATTGTAATGTTTCTTTGAAGATCTTCAAAAAGCTATCAAAATACAAGAACCTTGAGATTAAAATCTCAAAATCTCCATCACCATCTACTATTTCCTAAACACATATCCCACCTGCGTTGTCGCCATTTTGGAAACAATGTTGAGATTATATGTGCTGTAGAGGAGATTTTGGAAGACCAGGTTGCCACCGTCTTCCGTGATGAGATTGAAGTTCAATTTCTTTATAATAATGCTTAAAAATCTGGAAAATTTGGTAAATTCAAGACGTTATTTTAAACAAGAAACCAAAACCGTTGAAAATACTCAACGACTTAAGAAGAAGGAAGAACTAAACAATATCTGATTAATGCTTTTAACGGTAGTACGTGTTATTTTAAATAATGGAAGTAGAAGGAAATTAAGCTGTAACTGACCATATTGCTCAAAAGTTTTTGGCATTTTAAGGGCGGAATCATTTCCTTTCAAATTAAGGAAAGGGATAAAAATGAAACAATATATGAAACTACTGTCCAGAAGAGGTTCAGAATTTTAACGCTTCAGACATTTATGTTAAATAATATAAATGAAAGTAAATGAAATATTGACTGTCCATATTGCCCAAAACCTGTTAAGCATTTCGAGAGAGGTGACATTTCCTTTGAAATTGAGAAAGGGGAAGGGAATGGAACAATATTTGACCCTAGTGCCCTAAAATGGTTAAGCATTCAAAAGAGGTGGCATTTCCTTTAAAATTGAGGGAGGGGAAAGGGATGAAAAATATCTGACCCTAGTTACCTAAATTGGTTCAACATTTTAAGGTTGGTGACATGTCTTTTGAAATTGTGAAAGTGGAAAGAATGGACAATATCTGATCCTCATGCCCTCAAATGGCATGTCTTTGAAATTGAGAATGAGGAAGGGAATGGAACAATATCTGACTCTAGTGCCCTCAAATGGTTAAACATTTTAAGAGATTTGATATATACTTTGAAATTTAGAAAGGGGAAGGGAATGGAACTTTATCTGACCCTAGTGCCCTCAAATGTTTAAGCATTTTAAGGGAGGTGACATGTCCTTTGAAATTGAGAAACGTGAAGGGAATGGAACAATATTTGTCTCTTGTGCCCTAAAATGACTAAGCATTTTAAGAAGGGTGACATGTCCTTTTAAATTGAGAAAGGGGAAAGGAATGTAGCAATATCTGACCCTAGTGACCCAAATTGGTTAAAAATTTTAAGGTTGGTGACATGTCCTTTGAAATATAGAAAGGGGAAGGGAATGGAACAATATCTGACCCTAGTGCCCTCAAATTGTTAAACATTTTATGGGAGGTGACATATTTTTTGAAATTGTGAAAGTGGAAGGGAATGGAACAATATTTGACCCTATTGCCCTAAAATGGTTAAGCATTTAAGAGAGCTGACATTTCCTTTAAAATTGAGATAGGGGAAGTGAATGGAACAATATCTGACCCTAGAGGCCTAAAATGTGTAAGCATTTTAAGGGAGGTGAAATCTCCCTTGAAATAAACAATCTATTGCTGTTTGTGTTAACCAGATATGTAATGGCGAGGAGTACAAAATCTCCCCTAAAGGACTCTAGCTGTTAGAAAGGATTTTATATCATTAAAAGATATTATACATTGTGAATTTCTGATCTTTCAAAGAATTATGCCATATCTATGACGGGATTAAACAATGAAGATATTTTTGTATATCAATTCCCCATATAAAATACGCATTTTTTCTAAAAAGTAATAAGCAAAATCATGGCTGCGTATTATGCACAGCTATAAAATATCTTTAAAAAATTGCCGTAAAATAAAATAAGAATTATCATAGAACTAAATTAAAATAATATTATTCTATATTTAAAACCATTTTTTTAAACAAGGGTAGGAAACACTGGCCGTAATGAAATTGTAGAGGTACAATTTATAAGGTTTGATTACCAAATAAGGGATGCGTAATATGCGTGAGTTGCAGCATCTTCCCACACTTTTACCACAATTTTAGGTATGCGTA